AAGGAACTGTTGAAACTCCAAGAAGGTTAGACGAACTCTTGACTTGGTCAAGCTCCCGGTCACACTTATATAACCCTTCTAGGTATTATGATACCACATCCTCTCTTCGCCGCGTCGATAGACTGCGCTCTTTTTGTAACACCTCTTCTCCTTTGATCGTGAGTGACAAAAGCACTCCTCGTTTCTATTCCGTAGTGTCTCGGTGCTTTCTGTCTTACAATTTGTCTTAGTCTACACATATTTTCGAAGCTTTTCCAAAAGTCAGAAGCGGTAACGTGTGATCTAATTTTAAGATTTGTAAATGCTTGTATTTTTCTTCATTAGTTGTACTGTTTCCCTGTTAATTTTCTCCAATTTCTTCAAAAGGATCACACTCTTCTTATGCGATCGCTAAAATTCTTTTGTCGATGTCCTGGATAAAGCAAAGAATTCTTCATTGATTTGGTGGTTAGCAAGCGTGTGACGCACACAATGTTTTAGCCAGCAAAGTCGAAAATTAATGTTCTATTTACCCATACAACTTCGTATCGCTGCTGCTCCATCTTGCTCTACCTGTCCTGCTTGTTAGCCGACCCGGAAGTAGTGATGCATCCATGGCGAGACCGCTGTTGCCGGACTGAAAATGAACTTCGTTTCCCTTGTCAGTGCATTATTTTCCCACTGATTCTATGTAGCAGTACATCCGCACTGTTTGCGTAAATTGCTGAAAGTGCTCCCACACCGGTGTACAAAGCTTATCTTGAGCTGAATTGTGCAATCCTCTATTCCGCAGTGTGTTTGTGTAAAATACCTTCGTTTCTTCTTGATATGCTTTAGGGTGTTCTGTATAGGTTGGACACGGAAAGCATCGCAAGTGTAAACGATCATGTTGCTATTCGTAAAGCAAATATTGAGCAGTTATAACGAAAATGTTGCGATGTACTGGAAAAGGCGTGTGTTGTTAGATCCGTTTGGCAGGAATCTTAGGGCACGGGCAAATTCGAGGGTTGGATCGGAAGCGTTCTAAGTTTATGATTGTGAAGCAAGGCAAATTAAGCGGCCATTTTGATGTGAACTCGTGATATTTTGTGATCGCCACCACGGAGTAAACTAAGACTTCGATTTGCGGGCCCGGAATCCCCACCGTGAATATTTATTCTAGTAAACTTGCCGACCTGACTAGTTCAACAGCCAAGGCTTCGGTTGCTCACACTTAGAGAAGAAAGGAGATCTGTGCAAAAAGTGAGGAAAGAGACCAGCTGGATTTTGTTAAGATGAAGTATATTATGCCAGTGTGACAACTGCAGTGCGAATTCGAATGTTGAAACGATAGTAGCAGTGTCCGTAGTTGATGCTTCCAAAGATGCAACCCAGGCCCCTTCAACTGGTAGGCGAAAAGAATATGTACTGTGGGCGGTTTAAGTGTTTTGCTGTAGATATTCGGCATGCGTCTTTCTTGTGCTGTAATCTTTCGAGTAAATCAGTGTCTGGGGACCGTTAGAGTACAGCATAACGTAGCAGGCGAGCACCATGATTCAGTGAAGAGGATTGTCTGTGCAAGTAAATTGGGAAAGTGTCTTGTAAATAGATGATACATTTCAATTAATCTGGAGGTTTGTCCAGAATTCTACACTTCTAGTCTAGAAGGCTGTGTGTGCATTCATTTCTGCGTCCGCGATCCGCCTTTTCAACAACACATCAACAAAGGTTCGCGGACAGTCAAAACCGAAGGAACAAAGATACGAAGAAGAAGAAGAAAGGCTGATCAAAATGATCGCATTGCATTTTCCCGTGGATTCGACGAGATGACATCATATGTCCCGACCTCTACCACTTTTGATCAAGCTGTGAGATTTACCGGCACTGTAAAATAAAACGAAATATCAAATTATCTGAAAGGTTACACTCGTAATGTGGGCGTTGCGGATGGCTCAGAAACGAAACCGACAGGTGACAAGACCTTTGTGGCGATAAAGTGTGTAAGCGCTTAACTGAATTTATTACCTCATCATACACTTGGGCGACCAGTGCTAAATGTCGAGCATGATGTTGAGTCTACTTGTCTAAACTGTGTGCACACCATGCCCATGTAAAGTGCAAATGCCAGATCTCGGGCGCAGTTGGCGTGCCCGTTTCACGGTGATCCTTCCACGGTCAGTGTTGCCTTCGACCGGTATCGTACTGTAAGTCATTGCAGTGGACTAATGTACCCTCTGACAATAAACATTTATTCTGTTATCATTGCATCTGCTCGCCAATAACCGGTAGCAGTAAACGGCAGCGGATGTGAGCCAAGCGCTTTGTGCTCAAAAAGAACGGCAAAGTGTGCGACGTTAAGACTTGGAGGTGAGACAAACATTTCAAACAGTCGCAGGTTTGTATGACCAAAGTTCGCACGTTTGTGAGCTTACTATCAAGTTTGCGTTGTGCCTACAATTTGTGTAGGCTACTTTTATGTACACATCCATAATACTCCATTACATACAAACTGAATGGTTGCATTTGTGAGCATTAAGTGCTTCCAAAATTGAAATGATTTGAAATGACGGAGACTGCATAAATATGACCATTTTGCACGCATCATCATCATCATTATATATGTTAGCTAGAGGTGCAAAGCACCTCAGCTACTGTGACGCAATACATAAAAGAAAATAAATACAACAGTTGCATGTCAACTGAGCTACCAGCAACGCATGGGCATCGTTCCGGAAAGCTACCAGCCGGAAACTAGGCAACAAGAAAAATTATGATGTAAAATTATATCACGTTACGAATCGAGATCGTCGTTGGAGGAAGAGGGTAAAAGAAATGAGGAGGGACAAAGAAACTTACAGCAGGAACGCCACTGAGGTCGGCTCCTAGCCATGTCAGCAAGCATAGCTAAGCAAACGTGTTCATCGTCTTTTGGACCCCAACCAGGGAGCCGTGACGCTCCAACGGAGGCCAGCTTCGAAATGAGGGCCTTCATTCCTCTCGACCAAGTCATCACTTGGCCACCCTCCTCTTCTTCTATCCACACCCCCGGCGCGTAAACAACACACGTCGCGGGAATCAGTGGGCTGGCATGCGCAATACGTGGCCGAACCATCGGAGCCTGGTGCGTGAAATAACAGTGCTGAGTGGTTCAGTTCCTTTACCTGTGCCGTAAACAAGGCGTCGAACACGTTCGATGCTCACGCGGTGTTCCCACCAGATGTGAGCCAAACTGCGAAGGCACCGATTGTCGAACGTAACTAGCCACTTTATGTCCGCTGATCTAAGGGGCCAGGTTTCGCAACAGTACAGTAAGGTCAAACGTACAGCTGCATTGTACACTCTACCCTTCAGGGCGAGATGTCCCCCAGCCGCCATAGGTGGTGAAGACTAGCAAAAGTACCTTGAGCTTTTGTTATACGGTTTGCGATCTTGCCTTCGATCCGAAGGGTGCTGATACAACTTCCTAGGTAGTTGAATCTCTAAACGAATTCTAGCTGATCCAACCAAGGGTCAGCGTAGGAGGCAGTCCCAGCGAATCTTAGAGGAAAGCTATGCTATATATATATATATATATATATATATATATATATATATATATATTTGCAGCAGTTTATAAATAGACATCGGGCAATCGAAAACCGTGATGAACAAAATAGAAAAAAGTACAAATGTCAGGAACAAATAACAACTATTTTTGGCTGGTCATCACTTAATCGTCTGTACCTCACTCCGATTGGATGCTGCAGTCTCCCAGCCTCAAAGATTAGCTTCTGTGGTCTCTAGGCCACTCTGAATGGCAGATCGTAAGGATGAACCCACCGGTTAAACTTGTTATTTATAAGATCCTGGTGACTTTCACGGATGATTCTTAACCATTTTTATTCTCGAATCACCAAAAACGATTTCGAATAATTGATGATGTTTTTGGTCCACCAACAAGATTATTAGGCAGAACTCCTTGAAAATTCCTGCATTTTTGTTATCAAAATCTGCATCGATCGAATCAGAAAAATGCGCTCATCCTAGCATATTCAGTTCGAGACAGCGCAATGTCGGATAAGGTCTCTGACTAATAACGCGGCTAACCTCAGGGACCCCGTCCAGAAAGACGCAACATACTGGCGAGGCTGTTTCCGAGTAAACGTTTACATGCCGTTCTGGTGTATCATCGGTCTGTAACTCGTTAGCTTCACGTACCTAGGTGCAACATCAGAAAACAACGCATACCAGAGTGGTCGATCAGCGTGTACACGAATAACACGACCCGGCAAACATAGTCGGTGGGAGGTCAACAGATATTTAGTTGATGTAGCAGTTGCTCTCGTCAAATGTCAAATAGCGGATATTGCCGTTGTTAGCTCAATAATTCGGACAAATGGGAATGATGTACCATAAGCACTATTGATTAAAAGCGACCAGTCTCCTTCAGTGAGAAGTGTCCATGTTTTCAATCCAAACGGCAGCATCGACTGGAGAGCAGGGATGTAAATTGCATTGCTTGGAGTGGATATATAGCGGAGAGCGGGCGTTGGGGAAACCAATGCAAAATGTGAGTCCTGGTATGTGGAACGAGTAAGAGACATCACCGGAATACGCTGCGAAGTCAGCGGTGGCCTCACGTCCGTTTGACAATAGAGAGAAGATAAAAATTGGAAAAAATAAATCCAAAGAAAGAAGAATTGGTTGCTATGGAGTGGGTTCCAGTGACAATACGGTGCGCACGCAGTCACCTTTGCAAGGTGCGTATCAGTGTCCTGAATAAAACATGGTGGGAGCGAAAACAACTGTACTAAAATACTAAGTGGATACTCTGATGTTCAGCTTGGTGAATCAAAATGAAAGCGCGACAAGCATGGTCACCTTCATAAACACTGTCAACTGGGCGAAAGCAAGAGAGGATTTAGAGGAACAAAGACAAAACCAAAAGGAAATTTCAAATAGAAGTAGGTCTAGAAAAACAATAAGATGGCTAACCAGAAGACGAAGGCAACTATGGGTGCTTGCAAAAGACGCACGAACTGACGAAAAAATGTGAAACTCACGGTGCTAAGAACACGAGTATTTTGCGCAACCCGCTGTAGTTCGGGAGTATCAGGTACAACGGTGAACCGCTTGGGTTGAGGATAATGTCTGTAGAAGGAAGCAAAAGTGGAGAGAGATAACCAGGTCAAATTTTCAGAAGATGATTAACAGCAAATGTGCTTGTGAAGCGGACCAATTTCATCGGGATGTAGTGACCTTACAATAGGTGGGTGCTTGAGACGTCTATATGTGGATATAAGAGTCCTCATCACTTATAAACAGCAGGTCGAGTACTGTTTCGCCATAATGGATGGTAATATCAAAAGCAAGGTACATCTGTCACTGTGACTTCGAATGGCAAAAAGACGCACCAGAGCCAGAATTGCACCACTAATAAAGAATAAAGAGGGAGGGAGAACCTGATGCAAGAATCAAATTAGCTATTCAGGAGCAACACTTCTACAGTTTGCAAATAACACGGTTGAAAACATATCGACAACCTGCGAAGGTGAGGCGGCAACCGTGCGAAATATCAGTTGTAGACTTCGCTACGCAGCGCGACAGCCAACTTTACCCCACTGTTAGTTCGCTACCAAGTACATGCTAGGCGCACTAAATCGTACCTGTGACCATGGCCAGCTAAACTTGACAGTTGGCGGGTTTGCGGCAATTAGACCAGGGGCTGCCTGACTTGAGGTGGGCGGTAGCAAATGAGTGAGCACCGAAAGGTTACCTCACACCGTCAAGGACAAGGTGTGGCACTCGTGTTCCACGACAATCCAACTGAGTGTTCATAACCCGTAATCTGTTGTCTTCTATGGCTAAATTTTTAAGGAATACGCCTATCCAACTCTCCCCAAACTCTAAAGAATAGGATGTTGAGACCGGATTGGTTTGACCCTTAACCATTGACATGTCTGGTACGAACTGCTCTGAAAGTGTCACCTAGCGTAGCTAAATGGGTCACTAATGTACACAAACCATCGCAGCATGTTAAGGTCCAGTTTCGTCACTATTATTGGGGTTATTACATCACGGAAAGTATTCATCCTCGGAGAGAGGATGCCTCGTAGGCTAGTCCGATCGAGGGATGAGAAAGTTTCTTACAGATTTGTGGAGAGGTCAGCTGTGCTCTCGCGCAGAACCAAAAGAAACTTGGCAGCGGACAAGAGCGTAACCGAAACCAACGCGTATTCACAAACTGACGGTAGTCTAGAGTGAAATCACGTCTTCTGAGGCCAATGACGATGTAGTCTATTTGGGTCAGTGGATGATTAGCAGTAGGACACCGAATAGTACGCCGCATCCGTCGTGGCTTAAAGCTGTGCTAGTCATAAACAGTCCATAAGCGAAACGTCGCTGCAATAAACGCTTGCCGTCGTCCATGCTTATGAAAGTAAGTCCAGGTATCTCAAACAATTGATTTTCTGTAGAGTCAAGACGCCCTACTTGTACATCTATAACTTCACAAACACCTAAACCTTCAACCACCTGAGAGGCATGAATTCTGGCTTGGATGACGAGGCACGTCAACAGTTAGTGTCTAACGCAGGTGCAACTGAAGCACCATTTGACTTAGCTGTTTTGGAGTGCAAAGATTGAATGCCGCTAAAGATACCGGGTAGCGTGGAGTCTGCGACTGCAGAAAATTTGCGCGCGCGGGTGCGAATGGTGAAACTTCGGTTGTCCTTCAGATGTCTTCGCCTTCATTGGTGAGAACAGGAGTGAGGTTGGTAACGGACAGCAAAAGGTGAGTAAAAGAATTAGGTAACAATGGTACAAGGGGGGGCAACTATGGAATGGTGTTTTCTGGCGCAACATCATCATCATCATTAGACACGTTAGTTAGAGGTGTAAAAGCACCAGCTACTGTGCCGCAACACATAAAACAAGAAAGAAAATAAATACAATAGTTGCGCAACAGAGAAGCTGACTCCATCGAGAGCGCGAGACAACCCAGGTTCGGGGAGAAATTCAGGTCTATGCGCGGCCTGAGATGCTATATGATTGCTTAACTTGAGTATGTGAATAATTATGATCCACAGATCATGTTCTTGATCCAAAGCATAACTGATGGATACCGTGACTGCAGTGAAGGTCCGAGCGGTAAGCTACTTTCATACAGACGAGTGCTACTCCGTATCCAAATCAGTAGATCGAGTTTGTTGAACTTCTAAGCACTGCTTAACCTGGTAGGAGTAGTTCTCAATCGAGCAGCAACATCATCCAGTTTAGCACAAGGGACCAGAAAAGTGGGCAGTCACACCACATCGAGGTCTGATCACAAGATGACAATCACCCCAATCATCATTACACTGGAGGTGAAAAACACCTAACTATTGTGTTGCAGAAACGCGACAAACTCAGTGACCTATCGAAATAACCGTGGTCGTCTGGTCAGAGAGCTCACTATTTCCCTACAGTAGAATACATTCCATCTTAGGCCGGTGTGGGTTTCATGCTTGGAAAGTTCTGCACAATTTGAGTATGGTAATCAAGGACAGTCACAACCTAGCTATACTTTAAATAAAGTTGTATGCATCCTTTCCCATCGGATTCTCATTGCGACTTCCGTGAAACGCTCGTGTCTATAGAGGCATTATGAGTGGTCAGCAATCCGTGTCATGGGCGACATGGGAACCAGTGCTGGTTGTCGTCATTATATATATATATATATATATATATATATATATATATATTCGTCGAAAATGCCCTATGCTGAGGATGATGTTGCATTCACGGTGCTCCTTCACCGCAGTGGTTTTTTTAAGCTGGATAAATTTCATTCCACTTTATTTGGTTTGTTCTGCCTACCTGAATCATCTTATATTAACTTGCACACGTTGCTTACGCTAATTGTGGTTATCTTCGTTAACTTTATTGCATATGTGGCACTTTTTGAGTAACTTCTGGACACTTTGTACTTATCGCGGATTCCTTCGTAACTAATTTATTTTGTACACCCATTTAGTGAAGAGTTATGCCGCCATATCTGTATGCATTATTGGATTTATTTGATTTCATCTTGTCGTTTCAAGTGATTGACTGTTGCTTGATATCCCCGATGTGGCTGCGCTTACTTTGCATGTTGACAAGGTGCCTACCTGTTTAATACCCACTACTTCGTCCATACTGGCTCCAGGAGACAGTTGGTCGTTGTTGGAGGGGACGGGATGCACGGTACTTGTGGCCGTGCTATGCTCGAAGAGTGGTTCCATGCACTCAGTGTGGAGCGGACTACGGTCCAGCCAGCGTCTTGTATGCGTTTGATTCCCAAATACAGCGTGCTTGTGTTTGCCTGTGAAGGAGTGTGGGCCGACTCCATTGATGAACCGTGGCTCCCATCCACATGCCTCCCGGTCTTATTCGTTCGGGTTTACACTGGATATGGGGTGTGTGGTTGGAGCTGTGGGTGGTGCAGCGCAAGCCATCCATGGTCCCTCTGTAGGCGCAGGTGTTCTGTGACTGTCCTGTGGAGGTCACAGTGACAGGCAAATTTGGAACCGGATGCCGCCAACCATATTCGCCGAAAACATTCGGTTTTTGATTTTTTCGCCAATTGGGATAGTGAAGAGCTATAGGACGCCCGCAATAATGGAGTATTATGGATGATTTGCGTTACATTCACATGGCACTACTCGCATCATCCATGTGAAAGCTAAGTATGAAGAAATGGGACCAGCATGTACTCAGGTGGAAGCCACCATTGTTTTAGAGCCAGTTCATGTTGCATCAACACACACATCTGTTATGGTCAAATAAGCCTATGTGCCGCACCAACATTGTACGCGAGGTTTGGGAAAGCAACTGACTGGCGCGGGATCGATACACATACGCAAGCACAATGGAGCTTGAGGGTTCTTCGTACCGCTGGTGAGATTTGTGAGGTACACATAGGCGAGAGCAAAAGGCTTGAGCGCTACGGCAAATGAGATTGGGTACCAGCTCCAACTTGCAGCGTGGAAAACTGAGGTCAACTAGTAGAAGCCTAGAACGACCAGATGAATACACGGAAGATATTGGACAATGAGACGGCCATTGACTCTATGCATCTGAAGTGGTACCCAGTGAGTGACATGGCATATCAGACGTGTTTAATTGACAGGTGCGGTTCAATATGAGTGGATCGAAATGACTGTAATGCTCGAGTTGCAACGACCGAAAGCGTGAATGGACTTATTTATGTTGGCAAATAACATCAACCATAGGCATCAACGCTGATCACCAACCGCTCCACTCATCTTCGAACTCTCTCCTTGAGTTTGCTTTGTGTACGCTGCTTCTGTACCTATTTCTAGCGCACACATCTAGGGCTCCCAAGCGTTCCCCTTCTGTTGAGGCGTGGCAATGGTCAGCTGTTGGCCCATTACCGTTTGGTTTTCTTGGTGCTCTTATACTACCGACGTTTGGCGAGGTAACAACTGCTCATGACCCACCAAACTTCTCCCTCTTCAAAGCGTTCGCTCCAGTTGCCTTCGTCCGAAGTCTTCCTGATATTCGAAGCTGCTACTGTGCGAAGGGAGTTTCGCTCCAAATTCGTGCCACCTCCTCAATTTACCGTTATGAATCGCCCCCTGCCGAGCGATTGTATGCAGTGGGGGATCGTCGGCTGATCAACTCACACAGCCTCTTCCGCTTCGGTGGGAGTTTACTTCTACTGCGCCACGTGTGGGCGAATGTCGATGATCCCTACATTTCATCTTCGAACCGATAGAAAATCCAACCTGGTTTAGAATTGTTGGATTGGAACTTCTTCATCCTTGGGATTAGTTGCCTTTCTGCTGTCCTGCACCTCTGCACTGGATGCACTGGATGCAACCAAGGCGGGGCCTTCAAATTTGGCCGTGCTCTATAATTCCTATCCAAAAGATTTATTAACACACACGCTGTTTGGCAATGAGTCAAAAAACTTTTGCTTTAATTTATCAGTGATTTGTTCCGTAACCAATGACCGGATCGTGTACACACGCGAGACCTTGAAATTGTTGCGTGCTTTCACGCAAATGAACTGGGCACTTATTCCTGGTCAATATACATGAAACGAAATAGAAAGAATCAAAAAGAGGCGAAGGAATTCTACACAAAAGCACCGTGCAGGATGGCGTGTT